GCTCTTTTAGTAATTACTATCAAAGTTACTGCAAACTTCAGCAAGTCTGCTAATGTGATAAATAGTGCACCTCAGAATAGAAATGTTATGTAAGCTTTAATTCTGTAAGATACAGAGTTGAACGAGAAGTGATTGCACTGAAAATTCACTTTATTTTGAAGCTTCAAAATTATATAATATTTAAATATAACATGACAGGGTATTTATTGCAAATACATGCAGAGCTATGAAGAGCAGTAGTTTTCTAGATGAGCAAGACTGTGTCATATTACTTTTGAGCCCAGTTGGAAACCTGCAGTTATTACTTTAAGGCAGATACCAAATAAGTGGATCTTAGCCCACGACATTTTTCTTCTGAATGATGAGTTCAGGTGTATTGCAACAGTAGAATCTTCTTTTAATCATCACATCTTTGTGGAAGAGTGCTATTTACCTCTGTCTGTATTTGAGGGGGGAGAAAATGTCAACTTCGAAATTGCTTTCATTTTGCTCGTCTGTTAGCTGAGATGACTGATTATCAGATTGTACTGATAGGATATGTTGGGAATTAGTAGGAAAAGTTGTATGCCTTCTGTAGAGGACAGTGAATTCAGTAGAAGCAGCAGCTATAGGAAGGAATTGCTAAATCCAGAAGAAGTAATAGTAAAATACAAACTCTGTAGATCAGCATTAACTTTGAGCATCACTGCTTTCTGTGCTACTGTTTCTGTGAAGGGAAGGGGTTTCGGTTTCTTGGAAATCACAGCCCTGGCATACAGTATAAAGGAGTAGTACAAGCTCAACCATGCCGTTTGGGAAGGGATGCTCCATGTTTTATACAGTAGCTCCATGACTGGAAAACCAAGGCAAGCAGAAAGCATGGATTCAGTTTGTTCTTTATCTCCCATCTCACTTCGGAATGCTCTGATGGCCAACACGTGAAAGGCTGGCTTTTAAGCAAGTCTTATAGTTACAAAGCAATTCCATTTTCTACAGATTGCTGGGCTATAGGGAGCAAGACAGAGTAAGGATATCTACATAGCCCCCACTCATGGGATGATGCCTGGGCTGAAGACGCTGTGGCAATAAATGGTTTCATATTGGTACTGGACAGTCATTCAATGAGGCCAAGTCCCTAAGCAGTCACTGATACACAAGCTGGGACTTCTGACTTCTCTCCCAGTGTCCTAACCTGTAAGTTGGACAACCATTCCTGATGCTTTCTCCCTCTCTCCTCCCTATCTTTCGTAGCCCATGTAGGTACCCCATGAAAGGTGGTGCAAATTCAGTACAAGTGAAACAGAGGGTCTTCCGCTGACCCACATGGCAAATACAGTCCACTGTGTTCAATTTTGTTATTTTGCTGTTGGATAATAAATTGAGTGCTAAACAGCCAGATTCAGGTGTGGCTTGGGACAAAGGCCAGTAGCCTATACCTCCCTCAACATTTAAGAAGAAGAAAGGCTTCCAGCAGGACAAAGGAAGTCACTGCATCTGGCCTTGATGGTCCCTTGATGGGAGATCTCAGATTGTGTCATCGTTCTCCAGAAGCAAGTCATGCTTGCTCAGGGAGCCATAGAATCATAGAATGGTTTGGGTTGGAAAGGACCTTAAAGACCATCTCCTTCCACCCCCCCTGCCATTGGCAGGGACACCTTCCACTAGACCAGGTTGCTCAAAGCTCCATCCAGCCTGGCCTTGAACACTTCCAGGGAGGGGGCAGCCGCAGCTTCTCTGGGCAACCTGTTCCAGTGCCTCATCACCCTGACAGTGAAGAATTTCTTCCTGATATCTAGTCTAAATCTCCCTTCTTTCAGTTCGAAACCATTACACCTTGTCCTATCACTACAGGCCCTGATCAAGAGTCCCTCCCCGTCTTTCCTGTAGGCCCCCTTGAAGCACTGGAAGGCCACTATAAGGTCTTCCTGCAGCCTTCTCTTCTCCAGGCTGAACACCCCCAACTCTCTCAGCCTGTCCCCCTACGGAAGGGGCTCCAGCCCCCTGATCATCTTTGTGACCCTTCTCTGAACTGCTCAAGCAGGTCCATGCCTTTCTTGTGCTGGGGCCCCACAGCTGAACACAGCACTGCGAGTGGGGTCTCACGGAAGTCGAATAGAGGGAGAGAATCACCTTGCTCAACCTGCTGGCCATGCTTGTTTTGATGTGGCCCAGGATGCAATTGGCTTTCTGGGCTGCGAGCGCACATTGCCGGGTCACGTCTAGCTTGTCATCCACTATGCTGGTCCTCTTCCACAGGGCTGCTCTCAATCCACTCATCATCCAGGCTGTATTTGTGCTTCTTCCATTCCAGATTCACTGTATGCACTTTCAAAGCAGAGGCTACAAAGAGAATGTGGACTTCTTGGTGAGGAAGAAAAGTAACTAGACAGCATAATGTCAGCGGGGGGAACTCAGATTGTCTTCAGTAAATTCAAATAAAACATGGAGATATTTCTTAGACACTCTGATGCCATGCATATATTTGAGAGAGTATATTCTATATATTTAGTTATATATAGCTATATATTTATATATAACTTTATATATATATAGTTGTATATGTATATATAAATATATATATTCTATAACTATATATTCTAGATACAGTTTAAGTATGTAGGAAGTGTGAAATCCCTATTTCACTGAAATCAACAGAAATTCTTTAATAGGATCATGGTTTCTTTCACAGACTGCAATTCTATTTAGCTCAATTAACTTAAAGGATTCATTAGGAATTCTGTGGGGAACTTTGCATAAAATATCAAGGCTGTCTCAGGAGTGGGGCAGTTTAAGTTAAACTGGAAAAAACTGATGATTCAGTTTTCCAGCCTCTGAACATTTATGTTTAGCCTAAGTAAAAAGTTTTCATAGCTTTTATTCTTGCTTTGATATTTTTTTTTTTAGATTTTAAAATAAAAATATGTCATCTAATGAAATTTAAGTATTCTGTTATTATGGAACAGAGCTGATAATTAGTGTGCTTTGTATTTTCTTTTCAGAGAGGTATATTTTGCAGTCTGAAAGGAGTCAAGCAGCAAAATTATTTAACTACTCTACAGGCCATTTCCAAAAGGCGATCTGAGTAAATACATCAGCATAGTCTCACCTTAACCCCATTGTTTATTTATATTCAGATAAGTCACACCAAGTCACTTGGAAAGAGAATCTCCAAATAAATCCTTGCCGTAGTTGAAAATATTTTTAAATATTGGAGTTCTTGAGTCACTGTGTTACCCACTTTAATAAATCAGAGTTCTGCCGCATCTGTTTCCATCTGTTTCCATGTCAATGCCTGTTAGACATGTTATATGAGCTCAAAGTCATCATGCTCTAGGCTATTCTGAAATTATCTGCAGAGTTACATTTAGTATTTGAAGCTGAAAATTTATCTTTAATAAAGCAAAGCTTGGTCTCCCGCAGATGTTTATATTCAGTCAGCCAGTGCAAACCCCTCACAGGGCATTGCTAGGTTTCCTCAGTGTACACTCCTCAGGTCAACGCCCCCCCCAGGTTTTTATTCATACATGGTTTGTGGTTTTAATCTTAACGTATACCATTCAGGAGCTGTGAGTAACCATGAAACACACGCTGAGACACTAAATTTGTGTAACCTCCATTTCTCCTACAGATTTCTATAATTACAGTCAGTGCTTAGTATCCTCTTTATTCGCTCCCTTTCTTTGCTCCTGTTAACTTCCTTGTCTTATCTTACATGTTTTACTAAGAGGTTTCCAAGTGTGCTATGGGACCTCGTAGTTGCTCAAAGGCACTGGCACAAGACAAGATAAACCTGGCTTAAGGACAGAAGACCCGATGCCTTCACAGGCCCAAGCTTGTGTTTGCCAGGCTTTTAAAGTCATGACATTTGCCGACTGACTCAGGCTGCAACCCAGTGCCTAGTTGAGCTGGGGATATTCACAAACTGTCACAGCTTTGTGTATAATTCATCAATAAACTTTTATGACTTACAGTTTTACAGAGCACAGATCTGGAAAATGGACTCTCTAGAGTGTCGTGTCAAAAACTGTAGTCTTCCCATGCGTTAATAGTTTTCCCATAACATGCTCTGGGAAGTATACCACTTCCCAGCCAAGGGGACCTTGCTGTCTAATGATAGTGGGTTTTAGTTTTGTGAACCCAACAATTATTTGATCCTCATATCTGTGTGACTGAAGATTTAGGTAAGTGTGATGTTGCTAGGGTTGAAGCTTCCTTTTATATATGTCTGGCTGGTGATGCAATACAACTATTATGTAATAGATGGCGTGGTGTCGCAGTTGGTTTTAACTAATCAAAGCTTCTGCTGTTAGCAAAAGGGAAATAGCTTCTACCCCTGTTCACATCTTCCTCCTGCTGGGTCTTTTGCTGTTTCTCACGTGTGTGAGAAAGTAAAAGCAACTACATCAGGGAACTGATCTGCCTGAAAACAAATGCTATTTTTGCTGAGTTAGCTTTGTGCCTGAGTAGTCCTCTAGTATCATGATACAAAGAGATATTTTCACGTAGAAAGTGTACTTTTTTCCTTTTCTGATAGAACTCAGGTATTGAAGCCTGACAATCCCCAGTGTTAGCTTCATGTAGCATTACATTTGATTTGGACTCATACGCAGTTTCCCCGTTCCAAACCAACTCTGTACAGGTATTTTATAGCATATTTCTTAATATTTGAAAAATTGAAAAAAGGATCTGTAGCCAAATAGATGGTATGCATGCTTGAGAAGATGTCTATCAACTGCATAAATTTAATTATTGTAGTTCTAGTTTACTCAAGAACCAGCAGCCTATTTCAATTCCAATGCTGTAATTTATTTCAAATGTCTTATTTAGTCCATAAATATCATGTTTAATTTCTTCACTAGACATAAAGACATTTTTTAATATAGGCATTTCTCTAAATTTCATACTATTTTGTTAGATCTAAAAGCAGTTAGAGACAATTTTCATACTTAGGTCGCTTGTTGTCTCGGTTTATGCATTATGTTTTGATGAGACTCCTCACCCTTTCTTTTCTTGATCTCTAGTATAACATACAAACAGATCAGTACAGAAGTTGTGATAACGTCTCTGCCAAATCATCAGATAGTGATGTCAGTGATGTGTCAGCCATTTCCCGAACCAGCAGTGCCTCACGCCTCAGCAGCACAAGTTTTATGTCAGAGCAATCTGAACGCCCTCGGGGCAGAATCAGGTGAGTTCTCAGTGCAGCTTCAACTGTATCACACCCCCTCTTTCATTTAGTGCCAAAGTACAACCAGAAATTATCGAAATTAGATGACCGTAACATAAGAATTTATTAAAAATGTTACGCACATATAAACTGTCTTCCATTGCTAGCCTAAGTGACAATATTTTTGCAGTTATGCATCTAAAGCAGAAAGCAAACTTCCCATGAGGAGATGACAGATTTGTGGTGGAACTTGAACACACACTGTCATCTCATTGCTGGCCATGAATCAGTGTAACCTATATGCCAATAAGGTATTACAGGAGAAATATTACTAAATTTTTTATCTAAAGAATTTTCTTTTGTAAAAGCTCTGGTTTTGTTTCAATCTATGTATTTATTTCGCTACCTACCTGCTTTTGTTTTGCTGTTTTCATGCATATGATAAATTACTAGATTTGAAACAAGTATTTGTAAAGTAATTTTCATGTTTCCGGTTCAAAAGTAGTTTAATTAATTTGCATTATCAATAACCAAATACCTCTTTCATCCTTGATAATAGTCTATTCTCGGTTTAGTGCTTTTTTGGATACACAAATTGGTTCCTGTATTCATTTAACTTGATGACAGAACTCTTACCAGCTATAATGGCTGCAGAATTGGCTTGGTAGTCTATGATTACATCTACCAATGTCTGAACTCTCAAAAATTTCACTTTAAGTGATATTGGACACAAGAAGAATTAGGAACTATTAAAAAAAATCCCTATGGAGGAAATCAGTCTGATAGAAGTCTGGATGGTGCCATGTAGTACTTCAGAACACTTCTAGACAGACTCACTATCCGAGAAGTTCAGTTGTAGGCTTTCTTATCTGTCCTTGGAATGGGAAGGGATGTTAGGGAAACTCAGAAACTTCTCTCTATGTATAAACTAGCTCCACTTCATTTTTTTGTTAGAGAAAGTTCATAAGGATATTCAAAGTCATGTTTCAGATTGGTGAAATTATAACCTGACAGCTGTGGTAATCCACAATCCAGCAGAACGCTGCAGTAAAACTGTAAATGTATTTATTCAAGTGTTTAAAGTTATTTCAATTAATGTATTTAAATGCTGCATTTCATTGTGTCCTAGCTTTTTGTGATTTGTCTCTTACAGAGGGCTTTGGTCATACCAAAATACCGGTATTTTCTAGACATTGAATTTTCTCAACTAGGCAGTGTCACAATGTGTTTGGCAGGTTGAACAAAATGGGATTTTTCTCACATAAATACCTCTGTGTTGAACAGATTTGTCAGAAATGTTCCTTGGGTTCAGAATGTCTGATCACAAATGTCAGAACCAGGAGAACCAGTAACCTCATGTGAGGCTGGATAGGGGGAAACGTAGGGTCAAATCCTTGCTCTTGTTCAACCTCTTCCATTTTAATGAGTAGCAAAGCACCTTGGGTACAGGATTAGCTGACCTAGTGTACAAAAAACTAAGTGTCTGCAATGGGAGCTCCAGTTTGGCTTCACTCTAGACCCCTAAAGTGAGATATAAGTAGAATTGAGATGTCTTTCTTTTCTGATACTATCCTCAGAGATTAGGCAATTTATACTTGCTTGCTTTAATTTTCTCTTAATTCAGGTAGTACAGCGCAGCTCATTCAGTAGAAATATGAGGAAGAAATTAACAGATTTATAATTACTCATGACTTTCAAAATTTTTCTTCTAAGATGGCAGGTCTGCTTCCCTGAAAGACCTGTTAAAATAAGTGGGACATTGCTAATGTACTATCTTTGCAATTAGCCTATTTCAACCATTAAGTGCAGTAGAGTGAAATTTAAAATAATTTTGATGTTATGTTGGAAAAGGTTGTATCTGGCAGATTAACGTCTACTGTTCAAAATTGTCCATTTGAGTTGTCCACACTATTTTTTGATAATTGCCTGTCATCACTATAAAAAGGTCAAGGTCTTTAGAGACCTGCAAAAATGTTGTATCATGGGAACTAGATATCAGGACATGTCAGAATGAAAGGAAGTCGGATGTTGAAGAAAAGAAAAGGAGAAAGCATTTTGCTGATGATCTGTGCCAAAGTCAGCTTTCTGCCCTCCTGTGTCTGCACAGGTAGCCTTTGTCACATAAGTCTTTTGTCCATTCTTTGTGCAGCTTACTTATTACATGGAAATGAAAAGTTAATTTGGGGAAAGGGTTGATTGTATTATGAACAATTATTTCAGAGTGAGATTCATGCTGTTTAGCCTTAAAAACTGTGTCTCTATAGTGGAATTCAAATAAAAATTAGGTTTTTGTTAAATTACTTGTCTGACTTCCCTAAGTCATCATTTAAAAACAGAAAACACCTATTATCTCGTATGGTTCACCTCATCTTCAAATAGATGTCAGACAGGTGAATTCTTCTGTTCTAGCATTAATCGTTGAAGAAGCCCTAGATGACTAATTTAGATTGGTTGCTTTAACTTTAGACATCTAAAATAAAGTTCTTTTAATTACTAATGTTTCTTTAAATTCAAGGAATTAGAAATTTGAAGTTCAAGTCTGATTAGTAATTTGAAGTTCAAACTTTATTTTTGCCTCCAAGGAACTTGATGTTAACATATATCAAGTAGGATGGGATGGGATGGAATGGTCAAGCATGAGGGGCAAGGAAAAGAGCATTTTCGACTTCCTGTCGTCTATCTTATTGAAACCACATATCCACCATTGTCTTCATTTGGTTTGTCAGCCCAGTGGCCATGGCAAGTGTGTGAGTGTAATGTTTAGTTTAAAGAATGGAACACTATCTGAACAGCAAGGTTAAAACCAGTTGATGCAGAACAAGACAGAAATACTGTGCATCTTATCTGAATAGCTAGGTAACACTACAGCTATTCACTGGGTCCAAACTCCCAAATTTGAAGTTTTGTAGTATTAGGAAAATTGAGCATGTTGAAGGAGTTAGTAACATAGAAAGAATGAGAGCAAATCTTGCCTTTCTTTTAATCAATGACAAGACTATGTCTAGACATAGGCAGAAGACTGATTTCATTCCTACAGTGTTTTTGTAATTGAATTACCTGTCAGAAAGCTGTGACATAGCATGCATGGAAAATACCATTAGTTAATCTTCAGTCTGGAGATTTTGTTCATTAACACTTCTAATACGTTGCAAGAGAGAATTACAACTGATGCAAGTTCTAAATATAAGTATATAAAATAGCTTCGTAATTTCTAATTTGTGTAGCATTTTCAGGTGACTTATGACAAATGGCTATGCATGGATAAACTAGTCTGCAAATTAAATCGTTCCAAACGTCGTTCGTGTTACCATACTGGGAAGTCTGGTTGACTGCCATGCTCTCTAGTGGATGTGCAGGCAAATATCAGGAATTTTGGTCTGGGAACAAAATGTTCTGGGACTTTTGACTTGAATCAGAATCTGACTTATGAATTTGGCTTGCCATAGCGTTTGGAGTTGTTGTATATTTAATTTCTGAAGTCAGATTACTAGTCCTTCTTTATGGAGGTTTACTATCATTAATCATGGTCTTTATGCATTTGTAATACAGTCAAGCAATGCTTTGTGCCTGTGTATGCTACAGATGTTACTGTATATGACTCAGGAATATTTCTCACATCCTGAGTGAAGCAGAAGGAAATTTTTCATGGTTTAATGAAAGTGATTGATAGGTAAGAATCCATATTAAATACATGATGATTAATCAGCACCATATGGGCTTGATCAGACAAAGGACATTTGCTCACTTCATTAAAAATTATGCTCAATGATGTTATTGCATCATTTTTCATTAGAGGCCTGCTTATGCAAAGATACCTGGACTACCTGGTGATGTCAAGTAGGGAACTGTCATGCATGGTAAAGGTGAGCTGGAGGCTTCTGTTTTGGAGAATTTAGCAAGTCAGCTACCACAAGGTATTTCACTCAAATCCAGTTAAAACAAAATCTGCTAAATAGGTGAAAGACTAGATAACTACTTTTGAGGTGAATTTCTCTCAGTGTATCTGAATTTCAAACAAATTGCCCCTGCATTAGGAATATCACTGTTATTCCTCATTTTAAATTTGAAAACCATATCTTTATTAAGAGTTATATTTAGTATCTTAATAAATGTGTGATATAATATAATTATGTATGTGCCATATTTTAATCTGGTTTTACATGCTTTGCTTAATTGAATGCTTAATTTAATTAAAGTATTTTAGATGAGCTTATCAAAGAAAGAGGATAATATAATGGGCTGTAAACAGTGGACTGACTTAAACCAGTCCTAATTTATTTCACATATTATACCATGCCACTGAATGGCTTATGTGATAAACTCAGATATGCTTCTTTTGGATCCAGGCATGTTCTCAGTACATTACTGAAGGAAAAGAACTTTTTTTGTTTCGTGCTGTCAGACTCTATCTGAAAAACCTTTTTATCCCAAATTTCCAGAACAGCATACACAACTTGCATGTAGCAGTTGTTCTTTCAGTGTCCTAGAACTTTGGTGCTAGTACACTTGAGCTTTGAAACAGGAGCAACGAAGGAAGGAAACGACAATGCATGATCCAGTGAGGAAGTGGTTGATGAGTTCATAAGAAAAGGGTGATGGAGACAGGCAGGACCTCATAATCAACAAAACAGGGCAGGAAGGAGCCCACCGCAAGTGTATGCACTTGAATAAGGATGTGCTTGAGAGGAAACCATTTGGGGGAAGCTCTCATACCTTTTCTGGGAGATCAGCACAAGTTGGTGGCTCTCTGAATGGTCTGTGCTCTAATGCACTGGCAACAAACAAGAGGAATTAGAGGTATGTTGTGCAGCTGCAGCGCTGTGATCTCATCATGATCGCAGAGATATGGTGGGATAGCTCACATGACTGGACTGCTGAAATCCATGGAAGCACAGGGCAGAAAGGCAAGGAAGGGGTCTTGCCCTTTATGTGAGAAAGCAGAGTAAGCAGGGTGATGCTCTCTCAAGGAAGCTCTGCCTAGAGATGGGTGATAAGCCAGCTGAGAGTTCATAGGTCAGGAT